CCTCGATCGGGGTGTTCCATAAACGAAGGACTTTGGTCTCGTCACTTGCCCACCCTAAGGGATGTTCCGAAAACATTGTGGTCATCCAACCCGGAGGCGTGGACGTTGTCGACCACATGCCCAACCCTTAGAATGTACCGAAAATAAGCGACCTTCGCCCACCCCTCGATCGGGGTGTTCCATAAACGAAGGACTTTGGTCTTGTCACTTGCCCACCCTAAGGGATGTTCTGAAAACATTGTGGTCATCCAACCCGGAGGCGTGGACGTTGTCGACCACATGCCCACCCCTTAGAATGTACCGAAAACAAGCGACCTTCGCCCACCCCTCGATCGGGGTGTTCCATAAACGAAGGACTTTAGTCTTTAAAGGGGAAAGATCGGGTGAGTGGTTGGTGTTCTTTGTGAGCATCGTCTCGTGATCATGTAAAGTATATAGTGTCGTTGAATGCGCCAAATGAACATATTTACAACGAGTTAATAACGCTGGCAGAGACATTTCCATATAGAAATCGACCATTTCGACAACTTCCCGTAAAAGGATTACAACGATTCAGCTGCTCGAATTCAGAAAAATTTTACACATAGTATTTTTTAAGATTGGCTACATTCCACGACCTAGCCAGTGACCTTCCTTCAGCGTCATTCAGGGAGTATGCCCCTCCTGCATGAACTTTTTCGACCAAGTACGGCCCTTCCCAATTGGGTTCTAACTTTCCCACATGTTTGAGCACATCTACTCTCTTCCACACCAGGTCTCCCACCTGGAATCGGCGGATCTTCACTTTTCGGTCATGTGCTGCCCTCATCCGTTGTTTGTATGCCTCAACCCTGGTCGAGGCTTGCTCTCTGAGTTCTTCAATAGTGTCTAGGGCGGTCAGCATGAGTTCCTCATTCTGCTCCTGGTTATAAGTGCTCGATCGTTGGAATTGTAGCTCTAACTCAACTGGCAGAAGTGCTTCCATCCCATACACCAAGCTAAAGGGCGTTTCGCCTGTAATCGACCTTGGAGTGGTCCTATACGCCCAGAGCACAGATGTTAGCTCGTCCACCCATGCCCCTGAAGCTTTCTCTAGTCTCGTTTTTAGTCCGTTTAGGATGATCCTGTTGGTCACCTCTACCTGTCCGTTGGCCTGTGGGTGGGCGACAGAGGCAAAGTGTTGCTCGATACCCATTTCCTCGCACCATGCTCTTACCCGTTTACCGTTGAATTGAGTTCCATTATCCGATATCAGGATTTTAGGGACCCCAAATCGACAGCAAATGTTAATGTACAGGAACTGGATCACTTTTTCTTCTGTAATTTTGGCCAACGGCTCTGCTTCCACCCATTTCGTAAAGTAGTCGACCGCCACAATCAAAAAATTTTGTTGCCCTGTTGCCTGCGGCCTTGGCCCCACTAGGTCGATGCCCCACTGCGCAAACAGAATGGGTGCGCTCATTGTAGTCATCGTTTCCGCTGGTTGGTGTATGAGTGGGCCGTGCTTCTGGCACTGCATACATCTCCTGGCCATTTCTTTAGCGTTCGTCTTCATTGTCGGCCAGAAGTAACCTGCTCTTAAGATTTTTGCGACCATGGCCCCGGCTTTGCTATGATCACCACAGCATCCCTCATGCACTTCTCGTAAAACGTACCGACCCTCCTCTTTGGATACACATCTTAAATGTGGACCTGCATACGATCGCTTATAGAGGACCCCACCTTGCTCGAAAAACCTCCTCACCACCTTCATGGTCCCTTCCCGCAACTCCTTCTGGATTGGGGCCCTCCAATCTTCTACCTCCTCGATCTCTGCTACCTCGACTTCAGCCGCGCTCCTCTCCATATGGAGTAGGGTCACGCTCCTACTCTTACAATCGACCAAGTTCTGCGCGATTTTAGACAGCAAATCAGCTCGACCATTCTCCCCTCAGGTATCTGTATTAACTCAAATGTCCCAAATTCTTCCTTTAACTTCCTCATGTTGTCCACATGACGCTGCAGCCGATCCTCCTTGATCTCGAAACCTTCTTGGAATTGACCGACCACTAATTGAGAGTCGGAATGGACCTGGATTTTCCGAGCGCCTCCGGCCAGAGCCAATTGTAATCCCTTTGTCACCGCTTCATACTCCGCCTCGTTATTTGATACTCGATATCCTATTTTGACGGCAAATTCTAAGTAATCTCCCTTGGGCGAAATCAAGACTATTCCCAAGCTAGCCCCACTCCTCGACACCGAGCCGTCCGCGAACAACTGCCACACTCCTTCGTCATCTTCCTCCTCCTTCGTACCTTCTTGTATGAAATCGGCCAAAACCTGCGCTTTGATCGCCCTCCTTGGTTCATATATTATAGAGTATTCGCTCAGCTCGACCGCCCACTTTACTAGCCGGCCAGATACTGCTGGTCGACCTAAAGTCTGCTCCAATGGCATGTTTGTGCGCACCTTGACCTTGTGGTTTAGGAAGAATGGCCTCAGCTTTCGGACTGTCACGACCACCGCCAATGCACACTTCTCAATTTTCGAGTATCTCAACTCTGCTCCTTGCATTACTCGACTAACATAGTATATTGGGAATTGCGCCACTCCCTCTTCTCGCAATAATACTAAGCTTACTGCACTCTCGCCCACCGATATGTAGAGCACAAGTTCCTCTCCATGAATTGGCTTGGCCAGTAAGGGCAAGTTAGCCCGCATCTCCTGCAGCTCCTCGAAGGCCTTCTGGGCTTCCTCCGTCCACTGAAACTTCGAGCTCTTCTTCAGGGTTTTGAACAGAGGGCTGCTCTTTTCAGCCACCTTGGAAATGAATCGGCTTAGCCCTGCTATTCGACCAGTTAGTATTTGGACTTCCTTCACATTGGCCGGTGGCTTCATTTCGATCACAACTCTTACTTTCTCGGGATTCACCTCTATGCCCCGCTTTGTCACCATGTATCCCAAGAACTTCCCTGCCTTTACACCAAACGAGCACTTAGCCGGGTTGAGCTTCATGCCGAACCTCCTCAGTGTTTGGAAAGTCTCCCTCAGGTCGCCCACGTGGTCCACCTCCACCTTACTCTCTAGCAGCATGTCATCGACGTACACCTCCATATTCCTCCCCAACTGGTCTTTGAAAATTTGGTCGACCAACCGCTGGTAAGTGGCCCCGGCATTCTTTAATCCAAACGGCATGACTACATAACAATAGGTGCCTTTGCTTGTTATGAAGCTCACTCTCCTCCAGTCTTCTTTCGCCAAGGGGATCTGATGATACCCCTGCGAGGCGTCCATTAAGCTAAGCAACTCGCACCCCGCCGTGGAGTCTACCAGCTGGTCGATCCTTGGCAGCGGGTATAGATCTTTCAGGAAAGCCTTGTTTAGATCACGGAAATCGATGCACATCCTCCACTTTCCTCCCGGTTTGGACACCATTACCGTGTTAGATAACCACTCAGGGAACTGAATCTTCTTAATGTGCCCGGCGTTCATCAGCTTGTCGACCTCCTGCTCGATGATTTTGTCCATTTCCACACCATGATGTCTCCTCTTTTGCTTTACCAGCCTCACACTGAGATCAATATTAAGTCTATGCTCGATCACTCTGGCTTCGATCCCCGTTAGTTCATCCGTTGTATACGCAAAAACGTCCGTAAATTCCCTTATTAAATTGATCAGCTTCGACCTGATTGGCTCTCCCAAATCTTTTCCAATCCTGAATTTTCGGTCATCGCATCCCTGCACCATTTGAACTTCCTCAATCTCTTCTCCGAGCTGTATGTCTATCTTCTCCTTTTCCTTGTCTTGTCCTCCTCTCTCCTCTTTCGCTCGTGATCCTCCTGGTCGATCAGGCCTCACTTCCTTGCCTTTCAACTGCCTTTCTGCCATCTGTTTGTTGTTACTGACTGTGGTTTGATAGCAACTCCTCGACGTGAGCTGGTCCCCCGAAATCTCGCCTACATTTTCCCCCATAGGATATTTGATCGTCATGTCGTAGGTAGACACGACAACGCATTTAAACCTGTCCGCCCTAAAATGATATTGTAAGACGATTATGCTCCGACCCCCACAAACCGGATCATTCTTACATTCATCGAGTCGGCCGACCCTAATGCTACGGTCAGGCTCACTTCGCCCATTGGCATTACCTCCCCACCGTTAAACCCGTATAAAGTTGTCGCCACCGGTTTCAATTCCAGATTCAGGTGTTTGTTGATCTGCGCAAAACAATCGTAGAACATCACGTCGACTGAGCTCTCTGTGTCGATGAACACTCTTTTCACATCGAAACCTGCCACTTCGTCTGTGATGACCAGTGCATCATTGTGGGGTAACAAGATTCCCTCCGCATCTTCTGCTCGAAAGCTAATCACAGGCATTTGACCAGTTATCCCGACCTCCTCTCTTTTACGCTTCACCGCCCGCACATGCCCCTTTTCGTGCATTATTTGAATCCCCATCCGTTGGCCCTCCTGAGATCATGTAAATCGTGCCCCTCTTCGCAGGAACCTCTTCCCTCAGCTCATCTCGACCATCATTTTGTCGTCTCCTTCTTTCTTTCCTAGCATCGTCTTCTCCATCGTCGTCCTTATCACTCATCGCCATAGAATTTTCCCTGCACCTTCTCCTTTCTTTACCCCGTGGTCGATCGCGAATGACAAATTCTTTCAGGTGCCCTGCCCGTATGAGACGCTCGATCTCGTCTTTCAAGTGCCTACAATCTTCTGTATTATGTCTATAATCCTTATGGAATCTGCAGTATTTATTCGACCTAGGTTTGGTCGGTCCCTCGAACCTGGTCGCTGGCCATGTGACTTCCTTGCTTTCCAACTTCTCCTCTATGGCCGCCAAGACTTCGCCCATCTGGGCGTTGATAGGAGTAAAATGATTATATCTTTGGCCGTTTGGTAGTCGAGGTCGCCCTTGCCAGCGATCTTCTCGCTTATCTCGGAATGAATTTCGCCCATTCCTCCTGGGCGACATCCTCTTAAAAGATCCTCCTCTTGTTGAATTTTTCCTAGGTGATCCCCTCCTGGGCAAGCTCATCTTTCCCTTCTTCTGCTCAGGTTTCACAATGTCCTCGAGCTTGGCAAACTCTGCTTCCATTTCTTCCAAGTTAATGTAATTCTTGCATCTTTTGAGCACCTCATCGTAAGTTCGAGCAGGCGTCTTTGCCAGCGACGTTCGTCATGGTCCTGGCCGTAGACTCCTAATCAATCCTCCTGCTTTCACCTCGTCACCCGCCGTGGGCACCTCTAGACACACCTGATTATATCGAGCAACATATTTCCGTAAGGATTCTTTCTCGCCTTGTCTCATTGCCATCAGTGTAAGGTATGTCTTCTCCTGGGCGACCGCACTTGAGTATTGATTAGTAAGTTGTCCTGCGAAATCCTCAAAGTCTCTGATCGAACCTGGAGCTAATTGGTGGAACCAGTCAAGCGTGCCTCCCCGTAAGGTCGACAGGAAGGCCCTGCAGCTGACCGAATCTGAGTACCCGTGTAAGACGGACATGTTTTTGAATGCTCTCACGTGCCTCGAAGGGTCGCTCGATCCATCGAAAATCAGGTTTATCTCCCGGAAACTCGCAGGTAGCGGCGCAGCTAAGATTTCCCTCGAGAATGGGTGTCCTCGAGCACGTCTTTCCGGCCTTCCTTCCACCTTCTCCTGCAACTGCCTAAGCTGTTCGGCCATCCTCTCCATCGCTCTATCTCTGTACTCTCCTCCTCCGCCGTAACTCGACACGTCCTCTTCTTGTGTCCCCTGCACCGTTGTCGGCGCGGTAGCAGCCTGGGATGTCTGGTGAGTGGCTTGTTGCACAGCCTGTGTTGCCGCATCGGCCACCATCCTCTGCACTTCTTCTCTCGTCATGGCCACTACTTGCTGAGCGGGGGGTTGGGGTGCTCCTCCTGTTGGCGGCATCATGGTCTGTGCTGTTGGCCCTACCTGCTGCGTCACGACTGGACCCGCTTGCAACGGAGTGAGGACTGCCGCTGATACCACCTCACGAGTTTCGTGCTCTTTGCTCGTGCCTGCTCCTCCACCCAAGATCGCTGTACCCTGGGGCATCGGCATCGGGGTCACCGGTGTTTGCGAGGGTCCGGAGAATCCGGGTGGAGGTCCTGCTCCCATCGGTCTTGTCGTCGTCCACGCCTCATCAAATGAAGACTGCAAATTCAATCGAGGAACTCCGTCCGCCATAGCTGAGCTCAGAACACAACTTTTCGAACAAGAGTCCCACAGACGGCGCCAATAATACAAGTATCGCACCCTGACCGGCTGAAAATCGCCTTAAGCCTGCTCTCCTCGCCGGTTGAACGCGGAACCTGCACGAAACTCCCACACCGGAGGTGTTTTCCGGTGAAGAACCTCCAACGCTCAAGTCAGATCTTGAGAAATAATATGGGTGTATGAAAATGTATAAGAGTGTATGAGATTGTACTGAAAATGAGGATTCTCGCCCTTATACTGCACGCGCGAGCAAGGCGAGTTCGGCTAATTGTCTTCTGCTCGTCCGTACAGCCGCGCGCCTCCACTATCCTCGGTGTCAGAAAACGCGTCGCCTTTGTCAGAGATTGTCAGAGTTGGTTACGGCTGTTGACCACTCATAGTCCGCCGCGTGTCCTCTCCCTTACGTGCTGGAGATTCCCTTGTGTGCTCCGATACTCTACCAGTTCTGTACGTCCATGCCTCCTTGATCGTCCTTCCTCGACCATATCCTCGGATGACTTATATCTGTCGACCACTTCTGATCTTCTTAGTCGTCGCTATCTACTCAATGTTCTACGTGGCCGGTGTCTGGTCCTACTCAACCATGCCATTCGATCCATTCTTACTTAGGTAGTCCAACAAACCGGTCGATCTTCTTTGATTAGCCCAGCAAACCAGTCAAGCTATGAGCACTAGGTCATTAACCCTAAGTGATTAAGTTCTCAGTAGAGTCCCAACCCTTCTAGATAGACAAACAATTAATCCCTACAACTACACAAGCAAGCAATAAAAACAATTAAGTTCCAATTTTCCCTCCATCATCCACAATACTCAAATTTACCTTAATAAGCATTATAAGTAAAAACGAGGCAAAGATCAAAGTAAAGAGGCTTAAAGATAAGTACCCAATCTTCTATTGCGTAATAGACAAAAAACAGAGTCAAAAGCTCGAAACATGAACAAAATAAAGTCGCCGGAGAAGCTCCCGAAAAATGACATAAGCTCCTTAGTCTAGAGAGAAAACTTAAAACATAAGCTAAGTTCTTAAAAAGGAAAAAATGATATAATGAAAGGTGGATCTCCAAAATACAAAGAAAAAAAACATATATATAGTGTTCTCTCAAAAACACACACTAGGTGCACACACATTTAATGATTTAGCAGCTCGCTGGTCTCGAAATCTTTTTCGCAGCGAGTTTTGGAGTGAAAATGAACTGAAAAGGCACGTTCACGGGTCTTGAAATTGGGTTCGCTGCGAGTGTGGCTTAGGCTGGTGCAGAATCGCATTTGGCGGGTCGCGGAAACACCTTCGCAGCGAGTGGATAGGATGTGTGCCGTAAGAGTGCGGTATCGCGGGTCGCAGAAACACCTTAGCAGCGAGTGGCGCTGGGGTCCTTGGGCATTTGGCGTGGCGCAACATTCCGTTCGCTGCGAGTGCTGGGAAGGCGTTTCGTCGGGCGCGACTTCTACTTCGCTGTGAGTGCGGGCTATTGGTGCATGCTCGCAATGCCGACTCGCGGAGCACCAAAACTGTTTCACCGCAAGAGGTGCCATGGGAGTTGGCTCGCGGCTCGATTGAGTGGCTAAATGGTTCAGAAATAGCATGAATGGTACGTCTTCTTGAAATTGCAAATGGGACCTAAGCAAAACACCAAAAGAGACGCGAAAATACGGCAAAATATAAAAACACCTAATAAAAGCGAAAACACATAAAATACGACAAAATGGACTGGTTGACCGCAAATCAAACCTAAAAACGACTCGACTAACACATAAAACACAAAAAAATATGCACAAAAACATAACAAACAACTCCCACACACTTAACTCTTTTCTTGTCCTCAAGCAAAAAAAAATAACAAGTAGCTCGAAAACAAAAATACAGAAGTTCAAAATTAACGAACATGCGAAATGAAACTCTCATTATCATCCGGTTATCCCTAAAATCAAAATCCAATCTGAGACACGGTCCCCACATAATGAATTCATACAAAACAAAAATCCATCCCAAGTCATTCTATACATGATTACTCAAAACAAACTCCATCGTCTACATACACGTGCAAAAACTATAAATGGTCTACTAAACGTGCAAAACACGATAAATATGAACCAATAAGCCAACTCCCGTTCTTTTTCATTTCCTCTTCATTTTTTTATTTATTTTTTTTAATTGAGCTACTTTTTCCAAATGAGAGTCGTTAGGACGATTGTTACCTAAGTTTAACCTTGGGGTTTGTCCTCGAGTATCCTAGGCCGATTTCCCGGACTCATTAACCCGGTTGATCTCGAAGACTAACCAAGCCAAAAGGAGCCTAATCTTTTCAACTCTCACGAACTCATTTTGTGAGCTTCTTTTTCCAAACGAGGTTTCTGGATGAGATTATCTAGGTTTAACCTCGAGGGGTTTCTTCGAGTTTTCTAGACCGGTTTCCCGGGCTCATTATCCCATTTCATGAAATGGCTCGGAATAAGAGGAGCCTAATCCGTACTTCCTCGCGAACTCACATCTTATTTCTCATTTTTTTTTTCTTTTTTTTCGAAGGGAGTGGCACACAAGGATATATCACAATTACAATAAAATGATCATCACAACTTAATCAAGATGCACCATAAGTGTGTAGATAACACGTTTACAAATATAATCGAACATAAGGTAAGCATGCCTCAAGATAATCAATCGAGAACAAACAAGGGACAAAACAATTCCGTGAATCCACATGCGGGTTCCAATGTCAACGAACCATCAATCAATATTAGGACACCGTCCAAATCATCAAGTACATAAAGTATGAACGTTAATAGTGAAACCAATCAACAATCTCGACTCACCACTTAGCTATTTCGAATCTTGAACAAACATAAAGCTTCATGCATGAGAGGTGACTCAAACACACCAAAAACTCAAACAAAACCGGTCCAAGACAAGACAAATACAAAAAATAAAACACCAAAAAAATGAAACAAATATCACCTAAACATGCATAATCACGAAAATCCCTCCCCCACACTTAAAACAAAGCAATGTCCTCATTGCTTGACCAAGAAGCATATGGAAAATCACATATTCATGTAATTTCAAGTGATAAAAACTAAAACGAAACACAATAAACACATAAATGACAAGGAGACAAACACAGATACACAAAAAACAACGAAAGAAAAAAAAATAGGAAAAGAAAATACGTACTCTACACGGTGGTGGCTACCACCGTGCACCTAATAGTGTTCGTCTGGTGGGAATAGAGAAAATAATCCGAAAGCCATCAAGCTCAAAATGAAGCCATCCGTACGGTTGGACATCGAACAAATGAAACCATACAGGCCACATGTATGTGTCTCGGAGAAATGATATCCGTGCTTCCATGAACTCGACGAAGACACACGTATACGTGGAAGCTCAAAATCTCGGGCATATAACATGGAAAGTATAAGAGAGTCCCGTCCTTAAGCTCCAAATAAAAGCCACTTGTATGCATTTCGGAGAAATAATAATCGTGATTCCATAAACTCGACGAAAATGCACTTATGCATGAAAGCTCAAAATATCGAGCCTCAAGGTCCCCAATGATACTCGCAATAGCATAATACGACAAACTCCTTTTTAAATCAACGCATGAATAGATTACCGGCGCTTGCCGTAAGTAGGAACCTGCAATCTCAAAAATCCGACAACAACACAAAAATTGTCACGCCCGGCAAGACGTGCCTATCACACAAGTCTAACCCAAATAACTCAACACGACTATTCCGGCACGAGTAGTAATCCAAGCTCAACAATAATAATGAAAATACGGAGAAAGATCAAGCCATTGTACCTTGGAAATGCCGAGAAAATGGTTGTCGGAGTTCGTAAATAGAGAAATACATGAAAGTGGGGGCTCCGGTCGCCGGAAAATGTACCAACGAAAGGAATCGATGGTATATGACAAGAAAAGTTCAAAAATACTAACCGAAAGCTCGGTGGGTGCTCATTCGCTGAAAATAATGGTCGACGGAAAAGTTCATCGGATCCGGCGACGGTGGCCTGAAAAAGACTTGATACTATGGTAAAAGTTATTACTGAGATTAACGCTAAGGAAATGGAGATAATGCATCTTGAAGCAAGTACCCGTGTTGACTCTTCCAATGCACTTGTCGACACTCTTGCAAAGTTGGTGTCCATGACTGACTTGATTCCAGGGAGCCCTGAATTTTCTTTTGCTTGCAGCTTGATCGAAGATCCCCAAAAGAGGATAATTTTTAATGGCATACAAGATGATTACTCAAGAATCCAATGGATAAAATTTTTGTATGCGAAGACAGAGAAGAATGAGTGAATATTTTATTATTGTCTTGTCAGTATTTTTAGTGGACACCTATTTAATATCTAGCATATTGAATATTCTTGTTTATTCAACTTTGTTGCTACTTGCGTTTGTTAGACTTTAAATGCAATGAGAACTATGTTGTTATTTGGATGTTGCACTTTGAATTTTTTTTATAAATGGAGTATGTTGTTCGCCTATATTTTTAAAGCTCGACCGCAAGTGTACGGCTTCGCTCGTAGTATGGGGCAAGCAAGGTCGTATCCCAAGAGACAAAATAATTAATATATCAAGTATTAGATTATGATAGTGTCAACTTTATTTAGACAACCGAATATGAGTTTGATTAACTAAACTAAGAAAATAAATGAAAGGAAATAAAGCAAAAATAAAGAACTAGCTAGATCAACA